TACCTCAAAAATTTAACTAAATGAGGTTGTTTTAATGCCCGAATATCATCAAATTAATCATCTCGACATCAAGATGCATAGACATCAAAAAAAAAAAATGGATTTCGAGTTTTGGAAATAGTATATTTTGTAACGCATTTTTTTACTGTCAATTTTCAAGATTTTCAAGATTTAATAGGTATGTCAATCTACACTATTTTTGAAGCATTAAACTTCATAAATAGATGAAAATATATTTTAAGGCTGTTAAAAAGATTTCAAGTATGGAAACCACATTTCTCGACACTATTTGAAGGTAGGCTTTAATTTGATTGTTTAGAGCCTAGGCTCTATACAAAACACATCAATATATATAAGAAAAATCTTAAAAACCCCTATAGGTGAAGTGCTACAATGTTTCGCCTGAAAACCACCATGGACCTACAAGAGCCGGGGTAGTCGCCTCTTATTTTTTTATGTTCAAATTTGCATAAAAAAAATAATGTGACGGACATGCTAAGCCCATGACGGTCTTTAATCCACACCGTCCAAAATAATCAGACGGCGCCGAGCCTATGGTAGAAAATATTGTTCATTTTCGCCTATAGGTGTTTTTGTAGTATCTTTATATATATATATATATATATATATATATGATAGTGATTTCATGCAACGATTAAATTATGTAACAACTTTCCAAAATCATGTTAGGGCCATTTGTTTGACCCATATTTTAAAATATACATTTTTTTTATTCTAATGAACAATCACAAAAAAAAGAAAAAAATTGAAAACGTAACCTATAAAGTATTTTTTTAACCCAATTAATATAAGTCGTCCATTGTGGTGAGATGCTTAGATCTAGGCCTTAGAATGATTTTTTTTCTTTTCAAATTTTGTAGACAATTTTATTATCATTAGACAAACATGGTTTTCTATAAGTATGATTGCATTATACTATGAGACAACCGTTACATGAAATCAATGGCGAGATGATCAATTCGAACGTTTTCCAACTTCAAAGCACTCTTTTCTATTAGATTTTTGAAATGCACCTTGCTTCTATAGTATAAATTGTAACTTTATATAAACTTTTTTCTTATTAATATACTTTTTGTGTATACAGGTTTGTGTAAAGTGTATCACTTTTTGACACTATCTTGAGAAACATGTATGATGGTGTGGATATGACACCATATTAAAAGACACACCAATTATTTGGCATTGTTTTAAAAGACACGACAAATCTGTAAAGCCTCGCAACTTTTCTTCTACAAATAAGGTTGTAACCTTGTATAACAATACTATTTATATTTTATGCTTAACTCCCATGTATCGAGAGCTTGTTATATTTTTATTTTATTTTTATTTATTACATTTTAATTGTATTTTTTTTTTCATAGAATGGATTAAGTTTAAATTTTGGGTGTCCATACTTCTAACCATAGTATATTTATAATAAAACAAAAAATAATTTAATAAACAAAATAACTATAATACCCTTCCAAGTTTCAAATGTATTTTAATCATTTTTTTTTCAATATTTTATTATATTTTTATAGGTCCATGATGAAAAGCTTGGACCCCCAAATTTGAGCTTAGTTTGATGTTTAGAAAAAATAAAGTTATACAATATGCACTCTTAAAAAAGTGGGACTTGAGTATATAGGAGATTACTTTTAAGTTTTAATTGTAAAATGGGGCCTTCATAGATTTTTGCTAATTTTTACATTTAAAAAGTGCCTATTTTATATTTTACACAACGATTTTACTTCTTTTCTTTCTTTCTTTTTTCCTTTTTTTACTCTCTTCATATTATTCCCAGTTTCGATTACCAAGTGTCTGAACTCATCTCCCATGTATAAAAAAATAAAAATAAAAAAATAAAATAGTGGGTTTAGAGTCCATGTACTTAAATCCATCTCCCACTTGAAAAGAATAAAAAAATGGAATAGGTTTAGACAATTAATATTTGAACTTGTTATAAAAAATAATAAAATAAAAATGAGTGCATTTAAACACCTAATGTTTTAAAATTGTCTCCTACTTACAAAAAAAGAAAAAAGAGAAAAGGATGTCTTTGGACAAATAACATCACCACTAACAAAAATAGAAAATAAAAAAGGAGTGGGTTGCACACTCAGTGTCCAAAGACATATCCCATTTACAAAAAAATAAATAAATTAAAGAAGTAAGTGAATTCACATATTCTAATATCTCAGCCCATTGTTTTTTTTTTTTTTGTAAATGTGAGACAGGTTCAAGTATTGGATGTTTGAATTCAGGGTTATTTGGGGATTACAAAAATTGACGAAAAAAATAAGGCCTATAGATAAATTATAAAATAGTTGATCATTTTTTTACTTGCAAAATTTATAAGGGGATTTATATGTGAATTTCCCTTAATTTTAGTGCCAAAAAGTGCCTATATATACTTTATGTTTGAACCCCAGATACATTCATATTGCGGAATATCATGCTTTGAATATGAAAATATCATTTAAATAGTAAAACTACCTTAAAAAAAAAAAATGGTTAAATAAATAATTTTATCAACCATGTGGTTATTTAAAAATCCTTTCATTTTGTTGCCTCCTCAACAAAGCGGCTATTTGCTGCATGAATTGGCTGGCACTGCAAGGTTTTCCATCTATGTTCAACTATCAGTTTTACTCTTTCTTTTTTTTTTGAATGTGGACTAGCAATTTCCTCATATAAAGGAGCAGAGTCCAGAAGTGCAGCAATAAACAAAGAGTAGAATAAATTGCAGAATACAATAAATACTCCCCACTTTAAAGGATGACCCAACGAGACCTCCAAACACAATTTGTACCCTAACGATAATGGCCTAGGTCTCAGTGGTAGTATTGTTGAATCCCGTGGTATGATCTTTGACTTCATTCTCACCAAAAGGTGGGGGCCCAAATCCCCACTGACTTACCACTTTTGAAAATGGGATTGGGGTCGTGGTGGTAGTATTACTTGTATCCCAACGAAAGTCTATGCTTTCGTTCTCACTTAACGTCTTAAAAAATCACTAACGATTTAGAAAATGGGTCGGAGCTCATCAAAAAATCACTAACGATTTAGAAAATGGGTTGGAGCTCATCATTCCCATTGAACTACCCAAAAAAAAACTCGTACCCTCGCCTCGAATGCTCCTACATCACCTACTGCCTAAGGCCCTAACTAAACCATACAAAGCACTTCCAAAGACTTTTCCCCCAAAATCCCTACTGCCCAACCCAAAACTTATCAATTGGTACACAACCCACACTGAAACAGCGTCCAAGAGAATAACAAAAAGAGCATGGCGGCGACAACACACAACCAACGACAAAAAAAATAAATAAAAAGATTGGTTAAAAGAGAAACGTGAGAGATAGAGAGAGAGGAAAAAGAGAAAAAGGGAGTGGTTGTATATAATTGTTGGTGATTATCTTCCTTTTGTTCACCATCTCTTTCATGTTATTAAGCTTTCCTAGCTCTTCTAGCATGAGGACATGGCATTGAATGCTCCATTTTCTTCCCAAACTTCCTCCTTGCACTTAACACAATTCTTCAAATTGTCAATTATCACATGAGTTACATTCACCTTAGTAACTTGCGTCACTATATTATTTAATAAGGAAAATATATCCATAGATCTTAATTTAGTGTATGATTTCTTAATAGACTTACAAATATAAAATGTATCTAACGGCATCAATTTTTTCATAGGCCTTTCTGCTAACCCCAAAACCCAATGAAACCCATTTAGTTACGTGTTTTTGTCTCAAACAACTCTCAACCCCTGTCTCTCTTATGATCACTACAATCCTGAAAATTTCAGCAGCAGTATTGCAAGTTGAAGAAAGGGGCATTTTGCCATTCTTGCGACCCATTGAAACTCTTATTGAATTCGTAAACAAAGAAAGAGTGAACAACAGATGAGAAAAAAGCCCAAGGTTGTTATTTATTTTGGGCTTTCAATCCACCAAAACAATTAGGACTCATTGTGAAACTTGTAGGTTTTATGTTGGCTACATAGGGCTGTGCAAGTGTTGAAGGAGAGATGATTGTTGAAGTTGCTGCAAAATTGGTGAGAAAGAGATGGTGTATGAGAGATAAAAAGGGAAATGAGAAAAATGAGAGAAAAAAGTTATGGAGAGGTAAAAAAAAGGAGAAAGAGAGCTTGTGTCATTTTGAAAGTTGTTTGAGACAGAAACATTTAACAAAATAGGTTCATAGGGTTCTCGGGGTTAGCATAAAGACTTTTAAGAAAAAAGCTGCCAATAGACATGTTTGACACTCATGGGACTATTGAAAAATCGTACCCCAAAATAAAGTTTATAGAGATATTTTTCTTATCTAATAACTTATGTACTAACTTCCCAGGTAATATAAAAAATATTGCCCCTTTCATGTCTCAATATAATTGGAGACCTTGTTCCCTTTCATATATGCTTGTACTCTTTTGTAAATTGCCCACCACTGGTTTCCTCCTCATCCAAGCAAGACCCACTAAGCTCATATGCAGTGGATACTTTGTCTCCACGTTTGCTCAAAAGGTGACTATCATGTATTGAACAAATAAAACCCATATCTAAACATAAACTTCTTAGATTTTGTTTATGGCTACATGTATTTCTAAGGTTTTGTCAAAGCCTTGTTAATTTAATGTTTGGTATTCATTATAGCTTTGTAAAGGGTAAAAGTATTGTTAATTTATTCGATGTTCATTGTAGCAAAATACCCTTGTTTAAAGGGAAATAGTTTCATGTGTATGTTCTTTAAAGGAAAATTGTTTCATGTGTCTGGACCGCATTTCCACATTTACGGATCTTAAAGTACAAAACATTTATTTTAAATATGGATGCAAATATATGGTTCATCTAAAAGTAATTGAAACTATGAGTCCAAATGTTTTTTTTATGAAAATATTATTTTTAATTTTTAAAATTTAATTATTTCTTTATATTCATGATATCCATGATAAAGATTACATGTCCATTAGGCCAAAAATCCAGCTCAAAAATAGATATTTCAGAGATGACTCGTAGACCCATAAAAACTGTGTCCATCGTCATATTGGCAATGCGCATGGATTAGAGGTTTTGACGGAAGGTTATAGAAATGGAGCAAAGCTTACTAATGGGCTAAAGAAGTGTCAGAGAAAAGCTTACTGTGCATAAAAACACACGAGAGAGAGAAGAATGGAAGGTGGTTTTGTTGCAGGGGAGAGAGGAGGCGGGGGTGGGCGCTATAGCCTGCAACCTAGGGTTTCCATGGACGAAGATATTCTCTTCTGTATCGACGTAGACCGTGAAGCCCATTCGGAGATGAAAGCCTCTTCCTCAAAGAGCACCCAAAACCACCATCCCCCCATTACCCGTCTAGACGCCATTAAGCAATCTCTCATCCTCTTTATTCACTGCAAGCTCACCATGAACCCTAACCATCGCTTTGCATTTGCCGCTCTTTCCCACTCTGCATCTTGCGTAATGTCGATTTTGCTGATTTTTTGTTTGTTTGTTATGATCATTTTTATTTTTTATTATTTTAGCATCAGTTTTGCTGAACTTGGGTTTCTTTGTTGCTATTATGTTTTTGTATGAGCGAAAATTTGGCTAGTTAGTTGTTTGTAAAGATTAGAGACATACCAATTTGACTTTCCGTTGCCAAGAGTTTCCCTTTGGTTTATAATGTGCGTTTGAATTGTTTTGCGCTTGTTCTGCTGTGTTTGTTGATCAAAGTGTTAAAACCTGACACACAATCTGTTACAAATGCGCATTTCGGATGTTTTGCCTTCAGTCTGTTTGATTAGTTGATGAAATTGGATTTATCAATGAAAATTGGTAGTCACCCAATCCTTTAGAAATGTGGATTTTGGTGTGTTTTCCTCTTTTCTGATGGATTTATTGATGAAAATTGTTAAATTTGAACATCCAATGTTGTAGAAATGCGCATCTCTGTTTCTTTGATCTGATTTGTTCTATTTGATGGTGAACAGGGCTAGATTTCAGACACCTGTTAGTTGCCCAAAATCTGTCCTCTCAGAATTTTTCATTCAGTTTTGCCGTAATTGTGTTGCGGTGATATTGGCTAAATATTAGATGCTGAAGTCATTTTATGTGCTCAAGATCCATTTCTTTTCTTTTTATGTTCTCTTCTCTTCTTGTTCGATCATCATTGCCATCATCATCATCCAAGCCTTATCCTACCAATTTGGGTTAGCTATATGATTCCTGTTTGCCGTTTTGTCCTATAAAGGGTCATACCCTCAAAAAGCCTAGAAGTCACCATATCTTTTTTCACTACTTCCATCCATGTCCTTTTGGGGTTCCCCTTGCCCTTTTAGAGCCATTCACTTAAACCAAATTGCAACCCATGGCCATCTCACCCAAGTTTACTTTCTCTCATCTTATCACCTATTGAAGCCACACCTAGGTTCCCTTGAATGTTCTCTTCTTATTTGATGATTTCTCTAAATTATTTTTTGTTAATGTTAATAAGAACTTTCTATTGGTTGGTTTTATTGATTGGTAGATTCGAAAGGAGTTCAGTGGAGATGTTGATGCAGCAATGGCTTCAATAAGCTCACTTACAGCCGATTCATTGTATATTCGTGCTGATCTTACACAGCTCTTTAAAATGGCAGCCCATGAGGCGAAGAGGAGCCGTTCCCAATCACGAATTCTTAGGGTGGTGAGTTTAATTTGATTCTCCTTTTCTGGCCTTTATGACTTTTTTCTCTTTTTTTTGGTTTTAATTTGGGAAATAGCCTCCAATGAGCCTTTGATTGTTTGCATGTTTGTCATGTTCTAAGTAATAGATGGGGTCTAAATGTCACTGTAGAAGTGTAGGCTAGGTGCTTTGTGTAATGGTTTTATTTCACGTTCAAATGGAATGATATTCTAAAGCATCTAGAAACAATTTGTCATCTAGGTCACTGTTTTAGATTTCCTCTCTTCCTTTGTCTTTTGATATTTTCATGTGAAAAGAGGAAATTGATGATTTCTTTGATGTCTGTTAATTGCTTTAGATTTTCTTTGGAAAAATAGTGAGCTTGTGTAGTGTTGCATTTTCACTATATCTGTGAGTGCTTGTGAGTTCTTCTTGCTGCTATCTTGAATTTTAGTTGTTCTTTTGTTTACCGGGTATTTAATATGAGTGGTTTTCATTGTGCTCATTTTCAAGGTTAAGTGCACTAGGCAAATTGAATTCTGAAAAAAGAGAGGTTGCTTTTTTTTATGTAAGGAACTGTCAATCAGGAGTATTGTTATCGCATAAGAATAAAACAGCTATATGTCTACAAGTGCCATGCTGCTGTAGCTTGAGGCTTTGGTTTTTTATTGCTGCTACAGGATTGGTTTTTTATTGCTGCTACAGGATTGGGCTATGCGATGTTTTGGTAGCTTCGTTAATTTGTTACCGGAAGCTTTAAAATAGTTGATATGTGTTGCACACCAGCATTCTTAAGACACTCGTTAGACATAACTAGGTTGTGGCTGTATATGGGCCACCGTATTTTGGATGGTTCCCTTGAACTGTCCTAGTGTTGAACACTTAGTTGCTATTTTTCAAGTATTACAATCTTGAAAAGGTTAAAGCATTTGGAAAATCTAAGAGAAAATGAACACAATGGATCTCAAAATTGAAACTCAGCGAGGGGTAGGGACATTAAGGTTATAATCCATCCAAAAAAGTGGTTCTAAAACATGGCCAAATTAGATCAATTACGAAATCTAATGATTGTTACTACTGTGAATTTTATCGTGTCTGTTATTGTTTAAATGAAGTGAAAAAGCAGTTATGGTATACACACACACAATTGGGTGTGTGTACACGTTTCTTTATCAAGACCAATGCATGATCTCTATTAATGTGTTAGCATTGTCATTTGACTTAGGTGATGACCCAATGTCAATTCCCATTATAGACACTTGGAACTTCAACCTTTTTTAATTCTTTGCACGAAATTTTGGAAAACTCACCATGTTTTTCTGAGTTAATCGCTTAACTTATTGATGCAGGCTTAAGGGCTCTATCACTTGTTTAATTTGCTTGGTTTGGCCCTTGATCAAGTCAGCGACGTAGTTTGAGTTTTGAACACTAAATTGAAGTATTTGGAAAATAGAAAAGGGTATTCTTGGAAGAAATGATTATTTTTCTGTCTTCACCATTTCATCTAGGTGGGATAATTTCTATTCTTAATTTTCTGTTTTTGAATTCTCAAACATTATTTTGTTAACCTTAAAAAGCCTAAAAGTTTTACATCCCCAGCCTTTAAAAAAAATTCAAATTATGTGGACGGCATAAAAAGATTTTTCAGAATCAATATTGTCTCTGCTCGTTTCATTATGGCCCTTTCTCCACTCTGATTTGCCACTTAATGCTGCCATTATAGAATTCTAAACACTTGGAATATGCAAAATACATGCTGGGACCTTGTAAAAAATTTGAAAGATTTCAAAAATTTAGAGTGTATTTTTGTAAGGAAAATGGGATTTGCATCCTCATCAAACAAATCCTCTGATTTTGGGAAGTATATTACAAAATTTTGCATTTCACTTTTCATACCATATGTATATAGATTTAACATAGTCTAAGTGGGGTATTTTGGGAACAGAATCTGACACATGCCCTTCGGGGCCCACTTTAATATTATAGTATTGATATAATCTATATGTTTCGTCCCCATTTGGACATCTTGATAGCCATATCCCAGACTTATCTTCACCGGCCTTTATGGTAGCAATCATTAAAATAGCCACTCATTCATGGATTTAACTGCAAGAACAATATCCACCTTTTTTGCTATAGCGGTAGAAGTGTTTTTTCGTTTGTTGCTATCATCAAGAGTCCCTATCGGTGGCATTTTGCTAATAAACATGATTTCATTCCTGGAGTTGTCCCTGTGAATAGTGGCACACCATCTATCAAGGTTCAGCTACATTTCTAGGTCTAAAAAAGTGAGACGGCCCTATGGGGCCTTCATATCTTCATCCGGTCTCGGATATTCTTAATCTTGTATGGGCAACAAAGTTTTGCATGCAAAAAAGAGTGCGTCTTTGCTCATTTTGATGTTTATAGATTTGGAATTCGTTCAAGATTAAGGATAGTGAAATAGAATCCCACAATGTGGTTAGCGTTGAATTCTATTTGGTATTTTTCCTTTTTTATAAATTTTCTCCTTTTAATCTAAATAACTCAATAGCTTGATATTACAGGGATTTGGAGTTGTGAGCATGTTTATATCTTGTGTTGATATAGATGTATCATACTTTCTTGTTAGTTATATATTTTGTCTTCAATGGAATCAAGTGTGTACTTCTTGTGCCCACCTATGGTGGAGACATAAATATGTATAGGGATAACATAAGCAGGTAAGAAGATTAACACTGCGAATTGATCATAATGGATGATCCACCTAAGAATGTAAGTACAAAGTAGATTTATGGAATATTCCTCTGTCGATTACCTGTGAGTCTCTTCAATTCCAGCCTTGGTTACAGCCACAATCAAATGGCTAATGAAACAATTCCAATTGGATGGGTCAACAGAAAAGCAGAGATTCCACATAGTGAATTGGCCAAAAGTGTGCATGTCAAAGAGCAAGGTAGGGCTGGCATTCAGAATAATAAAGTAATGAACCAGGAACTGTTAACCAAATGGTGGTGGAGGTGTGGAATGGAACCCGTCCACCTATGGAAGAGGGCTGAATTGAGCAATTATGGTGCAGGTTAGTATGCTAGACTAGTGAAAGAACATCACAGAGACTTTCATTAGTGCTAGACTATTGAAAGAACATCAATGCTTGTCGGTGTGCTTTCATCAACAATATAAATAGAATAGTGCAAGTGTGTAATGGCAGTCTAACTTGTTTTAGACAAATCATTGGGGCTGCTTCCACTCATTGTTGCGTACGTAGAGCTTTTTAACCTAGCTATCATACAAAATTTAACTGTGAAAGACATTTTGGAAGGTTCTAGCTCATAGGCTATATGGACTCCTATATGTGTCATGAATAAGCACAACTCTTAAAAAGATAGAACATGATATGTAGAATTTCTTCTAATAGGCTAGAGGTAAAGATGCTTTGATATGGGGATAGGAAGGGGCAGTTTTTAGTTGAGTCTATATGTAAAGTATAAAAAATAAGTAATTTAAACTTTGTGGCTCATAAGGTATGGACCAGTGTTTAAAAATTCGGCAATCCGATCCTGATCAGGAATCATCCTGACCGTTTTGGATCCCATAATATATCGAGACGGTCCACCCCTGAACCGGTCAGTTCGAACTGGGATGTACCGGTTATGACATCATGGAACCGGTTCTGACGTCATGAAAACATCGCATTTTTCTTTTAGTTTTTGAAACATATTTTTTTTATTTGAGATATTTTGAAGTCTATTTTTTTTAATACATAGGCCCCGCAAGCATTAATTAGCCCTACTGCACACTGAGCTTGCGTCCCGCTCAACCAAGAGCAATTAAAGCTATAGGCCCTAAGCCTTTTATAGAACTTGATTCTCCTTAAAATGGTCTATGTGGGACAATTCTTCTACTTCCTACTTTATACGTGCAAAGGGAGAGAGTAAAAAAGCAAGGATCATAGTCATTGCTTTTGAAGGATGGGCCCAGGCCCACACCCCTTCCCCTTCTCCTATGATTTTGTTATTTTTTGGGGTTAATGACCATACACAAAGCCCTAGACTTGACTGGCCAACCTAGTAAGTCAACTTGGTATTTTTGGACCTGACATTTGGCCCTAAGTCAAAAATATTAATAACGTTAAAAAAAGGGAGAGAGTTTAAGCAATTGCTTATCAAAATAAAATCACAATAGTTCAAGGCTTAAACTTTAAGCAATTTGAGCCTTAAAACAATGCGTGCAAAGAGAGAGATATACTAGCAATAATTTAAGCAATTTGAGCCCTAAAACAAATCATTAAAAAAAAATACTAGTCGTTGGGATATTTTAAGAGGAAAAAATAACACTTGTTCGTACCACTTCAGAATCTATTTTCAAGTTGCATCAATTATCCCACATTGCAAGTATGAATTTAATTATTTATTTTCTTAATTTTATTGAAATATGATTGCAAATTTATGTTTCTAAATTCTATATTTTTGTCGACACTAATTATTACACATTAGATTTATTTATTTGTGAGCGTCATACACTTGTTTTTTGAATCACGTTTATTAAAATAAATGTTTGATGTGACACTAATTTCACTTTATATGGGAAATTATTTTTTTTAATCTTATAATATGGAACCGTTCGCTAATATTTTTAAATTATTTTGATGCAATATTATAAAACTATATTATAATTAATAATTATACATATATCTAAACAAGGAAACGTCTCAATATTCACATATTTTTGCAAATAATGAACATACATTATATACACCCCCAATTGTTTTTAAAAAAAACTCAAAAAACACTATTTTTAGAGATTAGTGATTTTTTGAATTTGTTTTGGGTCGAATCTTGTCGATTTGGCCGATTCTCAGATCTGACATGTCGATCCACTCGACACGGTTTTTGGGGAGGCCGATTCGGGTCACCGATCCGTTTTTTTAAAACCTTGGACAAAATGAAATTTACAATGCAACTCATGAAAATAAAATGAAATTCTAGAATAAGATCCAGGTAGCTGAAAATTTGTTATTGTAAATTGTTTCAATTCCTTTT